AACCTCACATCCTTTTTCTCAAAGGAAATATAACTGAAAATAACCGTATTACCGGCTTCAGCAAGTAATTAGTACAAATTACTTACCTAACCAAGTGCCTTGCCTACCCAGACCGAGTTTCGGGTTCTGCCCCCGAGGATGCACTATCCGCATCCTATCTAGGCTTACAGCAATAGACTCTCTTACCAGTTCACAAGATCTCTTAGTTTAAGAAATCATTCATTAACTTTCTGAAATCGTTATTATGACCCCACGAACTACTCAAGGGGTGGGCCCCATGACGGGGAAAGCCATGAGGTTCCATGACTGGACAAGCTATGAATTCCATGGACAGGACAAGCCATGGATTCCATAAACTAAACAAGCCATGGTTTTCAAAGAGTTTTTTTTTCTTTCGCAAACCAACCCATTTTCTTTAAAACATTTCCAAGGCCAAAATTCTTTTTGAAAATTAGGCTCATAAGGAAAATAGATAGAAATCCTACCTCGCACTATCAAACCTGGGACTAGCGTTGCCTTTTCTGGCTTCTGCTTCCTCAAGCCCCTTCAGTCTGAATCCTCAACGATCACTGATGCAAGACAACACTTTAGGATTAATTCTCATTCCTAAAGCAATCCAATCTCAATTTCCAACCAAGATTTCCTATTAGTGTGCCCTAATCCATTATCATGTTTTAAATTATCATTCCAAGGGTTTTCAATCTCAAAACAAGGATTAAAGATGCTAATCCATTCATCTCAAGTCTCCAAATGAGCTAATTTGGGTTCTCTCCGAAAACAGGGGTCAAAATAGTAATTTCAGGCCAAACAGGGCCAGACCTCGTGTCAACCGGTCGACCGATGACAGAACAGTGCAACACTACCGGTCGAACGGTAGTGTGCACTCCGGTCGACCGGACAGGTCAACCGGTCAGGCCAATGCAATCCAGTCGACCGCACCGGTCGACCGGTTGCCATGTGATCAAGTCGACCGGACAGGTCGACCGGTGGAATCAGCTACGCGAGAGAAGCTCGCGGAAACCAGTCTGAAAACCTGCAATCTCAGTCCCAAATCGAAATATTTCAAAGGAAAATCACTAGATCCGGGTTCTAGGTCCTAAAACAAGTCTAAAGAACCCAAGATCTCCAATTTCTACCCTAGTTTTTACTCAAAATCCGTAAAGATTCGTTTCGAACCAAAAATAAGTTTTAAAATTCAAAACTTGAGATTCAAGAGAGGTTCTTTTAGTAATCTTACCTCAAATCCTTCTCTTAAAGTTGAAAACTTCTTTAAATCTTTCATTGGTTCGAATCCAGTTCGATTTGAGACACAAATAAGGGAGAGAGAGAGTGTGTGTGTGAGAGAACAAGGGAATGAGAGTGAGAGAGAGAGAGAGTGCACGGGAGGGAAAGGGAAAGAAAGAAAAGAAATGAAAAGGAAAAAGAAATGGACAGGTGTTACAAAATTTTATAACAACAATCCAGGAATGTGCCCATACACACTCCTGGGAAAAAGATAAATACTGAGAATAGTTTAAATACCTTGGAACTATCTAAATTACACGTCATAAACATTTATTAATCAAAACTCAATTAATTAAATCAGGTTAGGCACACTAATAATCTCAATTACCTTTATTAATCTCAATTAATTCTTCAGGGTGTTTACACCTTGGGGTCGTGACACTTCGTTATCATTAGTTTATTTAATTATTTTATTATTAATATAATCCTAATTAAAATTTTTATGTAATTTTTTTAATCATCACATAATCATCATTAAACAAATTTCATACAAATTTCAATCTAATTACCACATATTTCAATTTCAATTCTAATTTACAATTCACAATTATAAATTCAAAACCACAAACTAAATCCAAAATCTAAAACAAAGCCACAAACCATAACAAAAATACCAAAATCAATTAACAAAATTCCAAAATATTAACTCACAAAATCCAAATCCACAAACACCGGGGGTTGGAGAATGGTAAGGCAACAAAATGGGAGGGCGACGGCGGTCAGAATAAGGGGCGGTGATGGCCGAATTAAGGAGCGGCGGCGGCGAGGAAAAACTCTGCTTTTTCAGATTTTTTCTCAATATTTTTCGGCACAAATAAAGGATTTGAGGAGAGAATGAAGTATTTAAGCTTTTTTCGGAGGTTTTGGACGGTATGTGGCGGTTTTGGATGGAGGGGAAGGAAGAAAATCGAGAGCTCACCGGAAAAAATGGCGGAAGGAGGTCTGCGATCGTGTTTATATAGTCCATTTTTTGCGACGACATATTGTCGTCACCAAAATATTAAGTTGTTGTCGCAATTGTAAGAAAAACGACGTCGTTCTTCCTCACCTCATTAATATTTCTGAGAATATTCTTGAGAAATCTACCTTTGCTCATTTTTTACGATGACTTTGTTAAGATGTCCTCGCAAATAATTTTAAGGAAACCGCCAAAATTTCCGCCCTTTTTTTGGAGAAAATTAAATTCCTACTTATTTGCGACAACATTATTAAAAAAGTCGTCGCACAAAATAGTCGTGTTTGATAGAATTTTCTGGAACCCTTTTCTGTGACGACACCTGTGGTCACAAAAATAGTCATTCTGAAAAGAATTTTCTGGAACCATTTTTTGTGACGACGTTTCAAGAAAAAAGATTTAAAAAAAAACAAAAATAACTCTTTTATATTGTTACATTGTACATTCTATGTCTAATTTTCTATCCTTCTTTGTTTAATACAAATGTCCTTTATAATCTTTCTTTTTTGGTTAGGATTTTGATACAACATACAAGAGAATTTGTGAGATGGAACAAATCTTAGTCAACTCCTCTTTGTGACAATGACTCATTAACTGTCCCTAGATACCATACCACTATGCCGTGGAAAAAATTTAATCTGTTGAATTTGTCAATTAACTTATCTCAAGGGACACATGGCTCTTTTTGCTGACATTTTATGGAAGAAAATGGAGACTCTACTCCAATAAAGATATGAACTTTAACAGAGGCCAAGAGAAAATGAGCATCATTTTTGTAAGAGCTGTTGAATGATCAAAATCATGCTTATTTTTTCTTCATTACAGGGTATTATTATATTGATATAACATATGTTACCAACTATAATGATTCAGATGAAAAGGCAATCTGAACAGCCTTTGATTTCGTTTGAATTAGTTTATAAATTTATAGTGATTCAACTGAAGAATGGTTTAGAAGCTTCAGAGCCAACAATTACATGAATAAAGTTCAAACTATTAACTAAGCGTGTCTATTTTTTCTCTCGCTAAGATGAATCGTGTGGATGAAAAAACTATATAAAAAGGGAAATTTTTAAGAGAATGTCAAAAAAAAACTATTTTATGTATGCATTAATTTTAAAATTTATCATTTATACCATTTATATTCTGGCAGAATATTTTTCATATTTTACCAGAATATTTTCTTTGACAGGATATTTTTCGTATTTTATTAGAATATATTCCGTATTCTATTAAAATATTATTTTTAATGGCATAAATAATAAGATAAGAAAAACGGTGACCTCCGTTTTCGCCAATTCTACTATGTTGAAAAGTCTACCAATACTCTACACGCAGATTGGGACAAATCGAATGGATTTGTTGAGGTTAAGAGCGAGCCGTGGAGCTTCCAGAATAGACAGTTGGACAACGTGAAGTTATCTATAGACTATATTGCCAAGAGGTAGGATATTCTTACCCATTTTCTTGTTAGTCTGTTTTAAAGTGTGTTGGCCTATGTAAATAATTTTAAAGATAAAAACATGTTTGATAAAGAAAAGTATTATAAGACAATAGCTTGATCATTGCTATTGATCTCATAATGGATGATTTAAAGTTTTAATACATATTTCTTAAGATAAGATATCTTGCGAACTGGTAAGCCCGCTGATGGCCTAGACAAGATATGGAGATCATATCATTGGGGGCAGAACCCGAAACCCGTATAGGCTACTACGGTGGTGTTTGGCCTTGCATTGGTCGTAAGTAATTTAATTACTTAAATTACTTGTTGGTTGCCTATAATTTGGAATTTCAGTTTATTTACCTTTCAGTAAAAATGTTGTTTGGTTCCGACTGATTCGTTCGAGCCTATACTTTCATTTATTTATTCAATTTTATAAAATTATATCTTATTGGGCTTTTCGCTCAGTTTTCCTCTATTTTCAATGTTTTAACCCCTCCCTCCAGAGTTAGCGGTTTAGATTTACAACATGGTAAATGGATGCCAATGGATTAAAGGCGCGAGATTCGTAGTGGTTAGTTTATTATGAATTTGCAGTTTTAAAGTTCAAATGATAAAATGTTACAAGAGGTATAATTCAAAATGAACTTTTGTAACTAATCCAGGTTATTTAATATTAATTAATTTGTAAAATAGTTATCCATTTCAGCCTTTTCTTTTCTTTTCTTTTTTTTTTAAAAAAATCAGCCTTGTCTTTCCATCTTACCAAATGGAGTGTTAGTGTGTCTTGTACGTAATTTCATAGATGGGAATTTGTTACAAGAAATTATGTAATTTTTCACAATAAAATGTTAGGTTTTAACCATACAATTATCAAAATATCTCTAAAATAATAAATTAAATGTTAATTTCTGTCAAAAAACTAACGGATGAAGCTTTTTGTTAACATTTTATTACTCAAGAGGAATATATATTAAAATTTAAGGGGATAAGTAAGAGCTATTAAAGTTTGTAAGTAAAATCAAAATGACTCCAAAATTTAAGGAGTACTAGTGCAATTACATACTACATTCTAGACCAACTAACATAAGAGCAAAAAAAGAAAAAAAAAAAAAAAAACATTCTAGGTCTTTCTTGCCTACTTCGCAAAACACCATACATATACACTTTGCGGATATAATAATAATAAAAGAAAAGAAGCTTCTTTGACCGCATTTGAGTTTTATCAATTTTTCTTTCTTGTGCGATAAGCAGGTTTTTTTTTTCCTTGTTTCATCGTCGTCATCATCATTATTACTTTTATTTTTTTATTTTTTTTGCACAACCATTAGGTTGTTTTGCTAAGACAATGCGTAGGTTGTTCGTCAGGTGGGCCGAAATCTCAACATATAAAACCAGCAACTAAAACTAAAGACAGAAAGAAAGAAAGCAAAATCAAACTTATAGAGAGAGAGAGAGAGAGAGAGAGAGAGAGAGAAAGCAAAATCAAAAACTTAGAGAGAGAGAGAGAGACAATGATAAAGGAGACGTTCTTCATATCGCACGGAGCGCCGACGCTGTCGATCGACGACAGCCTGCCGGCGAGGCATTTCCTGCAATCTTGGAAGCAAAAGGTGTTCCCGCACACACCCAAATCCATCCTCATAATCTCAAGCCACTGGGAAACTCATGTCCCAACAGTCAACGTCATCTCTCCCTCCAAAGTTAACGACACCATTTACGACTTCTCTGGCTTTCCTAAACCCATGTACCAGGTAATTATTCCTATTTTGCTTCATTGGTTTCTCCGAGTTAATTCTCTTGCTATACATATACGTCAGAATTTCTAGTTATATGTCTGTCTTTTTTTTCCCCTTCATGTAGATTCTTCTGTCAATTTCTGGGGTTGATGGAAATGAAAGGGATTTAAAATTTTGGATGGTTTTGTTTTACTATAAATTACAAAAGACTTCTCCTAAATTATATCTCTGATAACACATTATTCTCTAATTTTTAAAAATTTAAATAATGAAATATTAACAATAAAAACTCACCCTCTTAGTTTTTTTAATAAAAATTGACATTTAATTTATTATTTTAAGTATTTTAACAATTTTATAATTTAAAATTTAATTTGAATTTAAAATTAATTTAAATTTAAACTTTTTTATTAAATATCTATTATTGATTGAATGTAAATTAAAAATTTTACATTTTTTTATAATAAAAAAATTTATGAAAATTTTTTAATATTTAAATTAGTTTAAATTGAAATTAAATTTTATGCCATCGAATTATTAAAATACCATATAAATAGTAAATTAAAAATTAATTTCAATTAAAAACTTAACGAATGAGCTGTTTTGTTAACATTTTATTGTTAAAATACTTTATGATATTTTGGGACGGGCTGAGCCTAAAAGGTTGTTGACTGCCCTTGCAATCTTGCCTGTAGAGGTGAAAGTTCAAGGCCGTTTGGTCCGAAGAGATATTTTGGGGCGGGTTGAGCTTAAAGGAAGGAATATGTCCAGCTCGACCTTAAGCCTGAAAAATTTTATAAAGTATTTTTAAAAAATACTTTGAAAATATGATGTTTAAGCCGGCTCGACCTAAATTTATTTTAGGACTTGAAATATCGACCCAATCCAACTTGAAAATTAGGACTGAACTAACAGTGACAGGTCTTAGACCGACCCGTTTGGTCCATCCTAAATTTCTACTTACTCTTAAGTTTGAGCTAATATTAGGCGTCTTGATTTTGTCTCCTTTTTTGATAATGCGTGGATATCTGTTTGAGCCTTTCTACAAATTAAATTGAATTCTTTCATATATAAAGTCATATAGATATCCATCACAAAAACTTATGAATCAAAATATAAACATATGGTAGTATAATTTGTTAACATTCTCATTTGTGGAACATGAAAATATTATATGTGACTTTTTTCTTTGGGTAAAATGTAAATATGACATCGTCAGCTCAAGTATCCAGCACCAGGAGCTCCACAATTAGGAAAGAGAGTGAAGGAACTTCTTTCGGCGTCTGGGCATGACCAGGTCGACGAAGACAAAGAACGTGGGCTGGACCATGGGGCGTGGGTTCCCCTAATGTTGATGTACCCAGAGGCCCAAATCCCGGTTTGCCAACTCTCGGTCCAGACCCAAATGGATGCCACTTACCACTACAACTTGGGCCGGGCTCTGGCCCCTTTGAAGGACGAAGGCGTTCTCATCATCGGCTCCGGAACTGCCACTCATAACTTGAAGGCAGTGAGCTACACCGATGAGTCATTGCTTCCTTGGGCCGTGGACTTTGATACTTGGCTTCGGCATGCCCTTGAAGATGGAAGGTATTAAATTTTTTCGCAACCAAAAAGAAAATGCATTTTTCTTTTTTCCTTTTGTGATGTTTCAATCAACTTGCATAGAAACTTTTCAAGATTGCCATAAAAAAAAGACAAACTATCTTTTATTTAATCAATCAATTTTAAATTTATTATTTATATCATTAATATTCATATTTTACCAGCATAATATTTTTCATATTCTCTCAGAATATGTTTTACGTTCTATCATAATATTTTAATGATATAAATAATAGAATGATAAAAAGAAAAATGGTTATGCTTGTAATTCTCTCAACTTTTAACTAGTTAGAAGTTTTTAACTAAAGATTACAGTCCGGTCTTATATATAACATGCAAAAGTTAACAGTGTAACAACATTTATTCTATGTAAGGTATAATGAAGGGTTTATTTATCCTAAACTAGAGTTACATCTTTTTAAATCATTATTACAAAAGATAAACGCCGTATCACTTCTTTAGGACCAGCCCTTGAAATTTATATGTGACATAATATTGCGTAAAATATTGTGTCTTGATCTCTCAAGATGAAGTGAATAGTAATAGTAATACATAATAATACTCTGCCATACGTACCACAAGTTCAAATTGACAAATGCTTTCTTAAGCTCTTGAGGAACAATTACCATGATTGCAGATATGAAGATGTGAACAAGTACCTAGAGAAGGCGCCCTACGCGAAAATGGCACACCCTTGGCCGGAACATTTCTACCCGCTGCATGTGGCAATGGGCGCAGCGGGCGACCAAGCCAAGGCGAAGCTTATCCACCATAGCTGGAGCAATGGTACCATTTCTTATGCCTCCTACCAATTCACTGCTCCTAACTAGTGTCACTAGTTGTAATAAGTTGATCACTTTCTGGTTACCTACGCTTGTAATAATACACACTTCAGATGAATTTTTTGCTCTTTGCATTATAGAATGATCATGTGTGTATGTTTGTATTTGTCAGCATTTATGCTCTTAGGAATAAATGTAACGATGTTCTTTAAGACATTTTAAATATTAATAAAAATTTATTTACTTCATATATCTATGTATAAACCCACAATACTTTGATGTATGATAGATCTTACATTTAAAACTACTAAAAGAAACAGCGCCTTTAGCGATGACAAAAAATCAACATAAAGAGACGACGTGCTAAATATTGTCGAGGATAAGAGTTAAGAACAATCAATAAACAAACAGTGGTACCCACTTTTAGCGGCGATGCTGTGGTTGCGAAATTCTTCACAATGCAATTGGCCTTGCGAGGCTTTATTTCGCACCAAAAAGCTTGTCGCAAAAAATGGGTCTTCGACACTCTCGCAGTAAAAGTAAATTAAGATTTTCGCCCAAAATGCGCTAAAAATCCTAACCGTTTTGGTCTGCAAAAAATTGGACTTTTAGCATCTGAGTATGTCAGAGACGTTTAGCCAGGACACTTGTTTTCGTTAAAAAAGTTTTTTTCTCAAAATTCTATTTTGGGGTTTTCTTCACTGAAGCGAGGCTTTATGATGATAACCCAAATTCCCCTTGTTGATTGTAGCAAAAACTGATGAAATCTGCAGTTATGCAGAGTCACGAGACTCACAATTGACAGCAACGGTTGATGTATGCTTAAATGGTGAGTAATGCCAGGAACACCACCAATTCTAATTTCAACTTGTATACTAATTTATGAGTTGTCATTTTTTTATTTGTAGATATAATTTCTTATTATTAATTGACATGACAATCTTTTAAATACTTATCAATAAAAGAGTGAAAATCCATGAGTTGCTGTACATTTGGTATTAGAGTCAATGTCTATAACATTATTTTAAAATAATAGTCATGGAAGTAAGGTTGATTATGTTAAGCCTCTCCAACAATAATATTGTTACATTCAGTGCCTGTCATATTGTATTTTTTACTTTTACTTATATTGCAATTGAGTGAAGTATCTATCGGGATGGACCATAATAAAAACCTATGTTTTTATGTATAGAGTAATTATATTTACACCCACCAAAATTATTATTACCCCCATCAATTTATAAATTATGTTTATTGCAATTTACCTTACATTAAAATTACATTAAAACCTATTAACATACTCTCACATTGACTATAAATAGAAATAATATTTTTTCAAAAAAATAAAAAAGCATACACTCACATTAACTATATTTGGTAAATGTTTTTCAAAAGAATAAAAAAAAAAAAACATATCGCAGATTTCTGATTAAAGCTAATTTTATCTTCATAAGCCCTAAAATTTTCTCCATTAAATTCTTTGAATATTTCAATATAAGTTCCGATTAAAACAAAAATAACAGGAAGTATGATAGAAATATATAAATATAAATATAAATATATATAAATTGGTTATCATGTGCAGGTCGTTATGTTTCTTGGTTGTCTTTTACCGTCCATTGCCACATTTTTTCTCTTTTCTTTTTTTTGAATCACATTTGCTTGCTTCTATATTATGGAAGCTTTGTTTTTTTTTTTTTCCCCCTCAACGGATGTCATAAATAAAAAAATAAGAGGAAGATATATTGTAGTTGTTTTACGCTAGAATGACAATCAAAACGACATTAATCGAATGGCATGGATTTTCTTTTTCCTTTTTGGGTTTTCTTTAAAATAAAAAAAAATAAAAAAATAAAAAAACTGTCATAAAGAAGGTTCAAAATCAACTTTTATAGATAAAAGTAAAACGGACGGACAAAAGTAATTTATGAAATTGCAATAATCTTAAAAAGGAAATATAACATTATAGTTGAAAAAAAATTATATTTTCGATAAGTTAAGATTAAAATTAAGCTGGGTATGAGAGGGTTACAGTAGGTATTAAAGATTTTTTTATCTATAAAAGGATAGATTTTTCATATCTTCATTGTAGAAATATTATTTATTGAGGGTATCTATAAAATTTAGGGGTGCAAATAATTTTCATTCATTTTCCCTCCTTTATAGTGAAAATTACTCGCACTAGAATTATCTATGTGGACTTCTTTTGTACACATTCTCATATAATTAAATGATCAAAAAAAAAGGCCAATGTAACCAAAACCCAAAAGAAAGCCAAGCTTGGTAGGATTGTGAGTAGAGTTGAATGGGCAGAACTGGGGAGATACGGGTACGAATCAGGTGGGGGCATCATGCATTCATCACCATTGAAGTAGACCTTGCGAGGGAAAGCCCAACCTTCCTTGAATGTGAAGGAATCTACATCCTTCTTAAGTATTATTTCTGACTGAACATTTCCATCTGGCCCGGCTTCCATTAGGACATCATTGTAGAATTTTAGCCCATAAAACAGACCAGTATCATCTGCGAATTCAGAGTAGCAGTAAAACTACCGTTAAAGACTGAACTTCCAGTTTTTGTATTGAGATAAAATCACTTTTACACCCTCTATAATAGCGCAATATATCACTAATACTATGTGTTTTTAATAATATTAAAGTGGTTTCTTCATCTTTAAAGAAATATTTTTTTAGTAGGTGAGACTGATTTTTAGGATATATAATGTTTAAACTGTAACTTTTATTAATTAAATAGAAACTAATAATTTTAAGAATATTTTTGAGAACATTTTAATTTATTTTGATTGTTTAATATTTAAATGTTTTAAAGCATTTTCAAAATTTGAAAACTGTAGAATGTAGATGATGCAATGAAATGTTTTACATATAGAAAAGGAAAATAATAATGTAAGATAGTACATATTTCCATCAGTCGTATACGAAAAAGAGAGATTATACAAAATTTATCAGTACTATCCGATAATTATATGACACTGATCATGTGATCCTTTATTGTGATAATTTTTTTCATTATTGTTATACTATGTTAAGAAGAGGTGAAATCTGGCGTAAGAGTGAAGGGATTTTTTAAGAGAAAACAAAATGGTAAGTTAATTGTATGGTAGGAGAGAAAAGTGAAGAGATAAAAGGACGCATGTGTGCCATTATTTTTTATCCATCCAAAAATCGAAAGATGAATATATATATATATTCAAATTATATTTTATCCTCATTTTTAAGCTAATTTAATATTAATTAATTCGCAAAATTTTCTTTCCATCTTACCAAGTGGAGTGTTAGCGTGTCTTGTACTAATTTCACTAACTTTTTTGGCATTCCAAAAGTTATCCTTTATATGTGTTTGTATCAGACTTACTCTTGGATTTATAGGGGGCGATTGGCTTGTAGTTGAAGCTGAAAACTTGAGTGACATTGTTGAGATTTGGATGCTCAACAACAAGGGTCCATTGTGTGTAATTCAAGTGATAATCGAAGTTTGTGATTGCAATCTTGGCACGCCAATACTCCTTGTAGTTAAGCTTCACATGCCAATGTACTCGAATTGGGCACATGTGTTTGGTGCATTGAAGCAATGGGGCATTATCTTTAGTTTGTTTGTGCAATTTCACAACACTTGAAAGCTTTGAATCACTTCTGCATAATGTCACAGGGATATTGTTGAGTAAGCAATCTATATATGCATACATACATATATTGTTGAAATATTTGGGTTGATCATTGCAATTTATGATTATGATTCTTTCTATTTATAGTGTGTCGAAAATTATAGACAATTCGTAAACAACCTGTATTGATGTGTATGTAGGGAATTAATCACTCCTATTTATACTCATAAAAAACCTCATTGTAAAATTATCAGTGAATGGAATGAAAACATACATATATTGTTAAAATATTTGGGTTGATTATTGTAATTTATGATTATGATTCTTTCTATTTATAGTGTGTAGGAAATTATAGACAACTCGTAGACAACCTATATTGATATGTGTATTTAGGGAATCACTCCTATTTATACTCATAAAAAAACTCATTGTAAAATCATCAATGAATGGAATGAAAACATGCATATATTGTTAAAATATTTGGGTTGATTATTGTAATTTATGATTATGATTCTTTCTATTTATAGCGTGTAGAAAATTATAGACAACTTGTAGACAACCTGTATTGATCTGTATATTTTGGGAATCACTTCTATTTATACTAAAAAAACTCATTGTAAAATCATCAGTGAATGGAATAAAAATCATATTCCTGATCTGTGGGCGTAGGTGAATTGCCGAACCACATTAAATTTTGTGTTCTTTTTCTTCTATCTTTTGTTTTCTCTTATTTATTATTATTTTCAATTTATATCTTTGTGTGTGTCTCCGAAGTCCTTTTTTTTATGGCAAGTTTAGTCCTTAAACACTAAAACTGATGCATGACTTTTGAGATTTTACAAAGATAATCACGTCTCAATCGCATAGTAACTAAAATTTTTACAGAAGTAGTTACATTAAATGCAAATAATCTCTTCATTGTTCTTAAAAACCCTTAAAATGAAAATATTTTACATGTAATTATGTGAATGAGACGTGACTAAAATGGTTCAATGCTCATTGTTCAAGACCAACAATCTAATTATCCTACAAACACAACTCAGATCATAAAGAAAACAAATATTTTGACTTTGGTTAGAACTTTCTTGCCAAGCTTAGCAAAGTGAAAGATGATTTTCCACTAAATATGACTAATCCATCAAGATCCCACGTAGTAATTTTCTGACTATATTATTCAGTCTGAGAAAACTAAACATCTTGAGAAGAAAACAAAGCTTAAGCTTTCTATTTCCTTTTTCCTTTTTCCTTATGACATGAATAGGCATAAGCAGAGACATGGAAACAACAAAGCACCTGAAGTTGAAATCCAAATATCACTTCAATTTCTTTGATATTAAAAAAGATTGAAGGTGAGTTATAATGGTAACATATGATGTGTGTAAATTAGATCAAGTAATTAGAGATAAGAGATGAGAAGCTTACTCGACGCATCTGTTTTTATCTTGGCAGCCACAAGCACAAGTTGGACAAGGAGTGATGGTAGAGTTGTAGAATGATGACAAGGAGACACAGCATTTCGGGTACTGAGAAGCGAGCAACTGCGAGTACGTACACGTCACGTTCCAAGTCACTGGAAATGACACAAGAGCAACATTGTTAAGAAGATGAAAAAGAAAATGGTTCCATGCTATTAGGTGCACAAAAAGAATAAAGTTTGAAAATTTCTTCTGTTTTGGACAAATGGGTTATGCTGAAGTTATACCAGAGACCACAGTTTATTCTACAACTAAAAAAAGAAGTTTCTGGCCACAGTTTTAGTAAACAGGACATACTATACAAATTTTATCACACGTTAAGAAGAGGATTATTGGAAACTCATATATTGTTTTTTGAGAGTTCCTTCTCAACTATTGATCTAACACATTAAAATCCTATAAAAGGACACATCCTTTTGAAAAATTTAATGCAATTTGAGTTTATAGGTTCATATGTTACACTATAGTAATCTAGTGTCCATATCATGATAAGTTGTTATAAAGTATAAGCGTATGATCTCAAATCATGATTTAACGACCTTGTAATACATAATAGTACTCGTGAAAGTTCCCTAGCATTTCTCTAGCTATGATATTCAAATATACACAGATGATAAAGATCTACCAAAAGAAACACTTACTCCAAGCTTGAGTTCTTCGACGACCATCAGCCGAGATGAAAACAGTGGAGGGAACAATCTTTGCCTGGCTGCAAGTGTAGCCGGGGCCAGGACCCGTCAAAGTGAAGTTCTTAGGCAGCTTCACGGTCTTGTTGGAAGTGCCTGAGCGCCCAACACTGACCTGGAAGGAGGAGACAGCAGCCGAAGGGTCTTGTCCCCAAGAGGACACAACACCACCTTTACAACAATTGGCAATCTGTTGGTTGTAAGGCACTCCGGGAAGTAAGTCCACAACTGTGGGGTTCTTCTTGCAACAGTGTGGAATGTCGCTTTTGAACTTGGAACAGTCTCCTTGTTCAGTGGCTTGAGCTCCCACCATTGACCATATCACTTCCTTCTTCGCCCAAACCCACCCCAGGGTCCAGCCCGGGCTCATTATGTGCCGGTACATTTGGAAGTTGGTCATTGTCACCACCGCCTGAAAAAGTTAGTTATTACGGTTATAAAAGGTACTTAATTTGTTTTGCCAATATTTTAGGTTAGTGTATAGATTTCTATCATGGTATCAGAGCAAACGGCTTCAATTTAGATCACTACGAATAAAACTACTCGATTTCTCGTCTCTTTGAATTTATTTGACTTACCACATAACCATCAGGAGTCCAGGACATAACATCCCATTTGATTGTAATGTTGCCATTTGGATCCAACGGGTCATATGCAGCTAAAAATTGTAACAAGAGAAATCTAATTAAATTAAAATTTCATTTAAAAAAATGAAAAAAAAAAAAAAAGTATAGCTTTGAGTTTTCTCAATTAGATGCTTTACCTGCGTGAGAAAACATGATAACAAACAGAGCAGCTGCAATAACAGGACTTGCATGTTTGCTTGAAGCCATATGCTTCTAATTCCAAACAATGAAACAAAGATTTGTTTTTGTTTAAACGATGATGTAAGTTATATGGATTGTATCAAGCTTACCTACTGGTTTGTTGGGAAATATGATATTTCTTTGTCGTTTTCTTTGGCAGATTATATTCAATTTTTATATGTTATGTTAGAAGTTGGACTTGGAACACGCGAGTATTTTTAGTATTGAAATGCAAAAGCTCAACAGTTAGGAACCAATGATTAGGTTTGTCAAGGATGTTGCCATTTGGAGTTTTCTTTAAATCCCATTAATGCTAAGAAAGTGGTCATCTCATGCAAATACAGAAATTACTTGCTGTTGCTATTATATATTAATGAAGTTTCGTTTTCATACCTGATTGTAGTAATGATATAATTGACGCGTCAATTATAAATTTAATATTTAAGTGTAAAAAATATTCTCCAGTACAATGTTATTTATTGTGGTAAATTTCTCACTAAGTATAGCATATTGAAAATTTAGCATTTGATTACTATTAGTTAAAATGTATACTTTTTCCATACAATCAATTTAACTTATACATTTTTTAATTATTTTAAAAATAAAAGTTTATTTTTACAACTTATAAAGCTTAATAATTATAAGAAAAAAATAAATTTAGCATTTTAAATAGTATTATGCATTTAAATAAAAATGAAAATAACATATTATATCATACTTTTTTATGCTAAATATATAATTAGCATTAACATTTACATTAGAGTTGGTCTTTTATATTTTGCATTTTGAGTTCATCAAAAAAGAATATCTTACAATTTTTACTTTCTCACAAAGTCCTTTGAACTTCAAATTCATGTTAAATTTATCTTTCAAAAGTCAACAGTGGATTTTGACCCTTGTGGCATTCTAGTTGTTTAAACGAATATGTGCGGTTGAGGGTATTATTGTAATTCCGCGTATGCTCGACTGACCCCGCAAGTGCACAACCCAAGAAAAACAAAAAAAACAAAAATAACTCTTTTATATTGTTACATTGTACATTCTATGTCTAATTTTCTATCCTTCTTTGTTTTATACAAATGTCCTTTATAATCTTTCTTTTTTGGTTAGGATTTTGATACAACATACAAGAGAATTTGTGAGATGGAACAAATATTAGTCAACTCTTCTTTGTGACAATGACTCATTAACTGTCCCTAGATACCATACCACTATGCCGTGGAAAAAATTTAATCTGTTGACTTTGTCAATTAACTTATCTCAAGCGACACATTTTTTTTTTTTTTTTTTTTCCTGAGGAAAGATGGCTCTTTTTGCTGACATTTTATGGAAGAAAATGGAGACTCTACTTCAATAAAGATATGAACTTTAACAGAGGCCAAGAGAAAATGAGCATCATTTTTGTAAGAGCTGTTGAATGATCAAAATCATGCTTATTTTTTCTTCATTACAGGGTATTATTATATTGATATAACATATGTTACCAACTATAATGATTCAGATGAAAAGGCTTTTGATTTCGTTTGAATTAGTTTATAAATTTGTACCGATTCAACTAAAGAATGGTTTAGAAGCTTCAGAGCCAACAATTACATGAATAAAGTTCGAACTATTAACTAAGTGTGTCTGTTTTTTCTCTCGCTAAGATGAATCGTGTGGATGAAAAAACTATATAAAAAGGGAAATTTTTAGGAGAATGTCAAAAAAAAAAAGATAATACTATTTGATTTATCCATTAATTTTAAAATTTATCATTTATGCCATTTATATTCTGGCAAAATTTTTTTCATATTCTATCAGAATATTTTTTTTTTGCAGGATATTTTTCGTATTTTATTAGAATATATTCCGTATTCTATTAAAATATTCTTTTTAATGGCATAAATAATAAGATGATAAAAAATTATTATTATTCTTGTAATTTTTAGTATAAAAATCTTTTTATTATTATACTATCATTAGTTTGACTATTCTGAATGCAACTACTCTCCTTTTTCTAACTCCATCAGATGGGGATTTTTCAACCACCAGAATTTGTTTCCTCTAAGGATGATGCAATTTCTTATCTAGCAAATGTGTGAGATAACAACTTATTGCACTAATTTGGCATCTCTTATATTAAGGTCAAATATTAGAATTATCAATGTATTGTTTCTGTCTTACACTTTTAACAAGATTTGTTTGTCCCCTTTCCCTTGAAGTCTAGTTTGGCCGGCTAAATAATCCTATCCTTAATTATTATTAGTTTCAAATTAATGTTGCCGGCAATCTATTTTATTCTCATACGCATAAGCCGGGATTGAGCCAGCTCAGTCCCCAAGGTCTCTATTGAAATTTTCCCTTAATTATTTTTATCGACTTTCCTTTTATTTTGCCCCTCCTGAAATAAGCTAACTCCAAAATTTTATGTAAAATTATTTAAAAGTTTCGATCATTATTTGGTTTTTGCTTTTGTTTATACATATTATATAATATTTTTTTATTTGAAAAATCCGAATGACTTAAAATTCATATATTTTGGGAAAATTTAAAAATCGAATGAAGCTCAATTATAGGTGTGGTCTATGTAGAGAAAGAAACTAAACGAAGATATAAATTGGAGGAAAAAAAAGTACAAAAGGGATAAAAATTGGTAATTACATAAAAGTACCTTCCAGTTTTAGTTTTTATTCTTTGCAATTTAACTCCTTTTTTTAATAACTTCACAGTTATCCTTTCACTTTGAAAATTTTGTTTCAACTTCATTTCCTGCACACTTTATGATTGAAGAAAAATGAAAAAGACAAAGGTGCCCTTCATTCCTGGAATATTCAAAATAAATAAATAAACAGTTAAAACACATAAATCATAAATCCTTTTTTTTTTTTTTGAAATTTTATGTTTTTTTATTTTATTTTGTTTTATTTTTTATTTGTAACTGTTTATAAATATTTTTCAGAAACTATTTTAAGAAATACTTTTATTTCTTTGCTCAACTTTTTCGTCCACAAATTAAGTGCACAAAAAGTGAAATTGAAATAAGTTTTTCAAATCCAAATGAAACCTTATGGTTTCTAAAAACAAAAATATAGATTAAGAAAAAATAAATAAAAGCTAGGATGTATAAATTTATAATTTAAAAAAAAAAGAACCACTAGAAAGTTTTTGACAAGTGGTTTAGTTCAAAATTTTAGTTTAACTCAATCCCTCCTAAAAAAAAAATCTGGCTCTGCCCTTGTATACAATTTTAAAGTTAGTTTCTAATCAATTTGAGTACATGTTGAACAGCAAGAAATATGTTTATTAATTTTTTAATAGAAGATATCTTACCTAACTATCTCCTTAAAATAAAGGACTCGTAAGAAAAAAAAAAAAAAAAAAAATTGTTTATTTCTATCACCAACTTATGCATTTGTATTTGTCAAATTGGAACTCATTCTCTAGACTAGTTGACAATTTTGCCATCCCAAGTATCTGGACGTTAGGATGCATTCCCAAATATGCACATGTACTAATTAGGTATATGATGTAGAATATTTGAGACATAACTACTCACGTATTAGGATGTTGTTGAAACAGTAATCATATTTAATTAAGAGTACTGTTTCTATGTTTAGACTTGTCCTTGTCAATATGTTTACCTTGCTCTAAGAGTTAACTTTTTGGATCATTTTCTATCTTTTTTATGGAGAACAAACCATAAAAAAGTTTTAACTATAGTGTTATGGTTCAGAGTAGTAAGACCTTAAAAATTCATAAATATATACATGCACATATATTTCTTACATGTTTGAAATTCCCATATTTTCTTATCTACACTAGTATCAGTGACTTCAATTCTGATCTAGTACAGTATTACTTGGAGTTCCATTTTTCAAAACTAGGCTAGCAATACCATGAGTAACAAGGTTGCGAGGGTAAACGATGAAATCGAGTTCCTATAGGCCGAATTTGGTAGGGACGGATATGAGTCGGGAAGGGGCATCATACATTCATCACCATTGAAGTAAATTTTCAATGGAAATGCCCAACCTTGATCCAATGTGAATGTTGTCTTGTCCTTTTTCAGAAGCAATTCTGTTTGGACGTGTCCATTAGGCCCAGCTTCCATTAGTAAGTCATTGAAATATTTTATGCCATAAAACATCCCAGCATCATCTGCACATTTAAATAGAAACCAAGTCATGGACAGTTCATACTCAATGTGTTAAATGAGTTGATTGGCCATATTATATACAACAAGAAAACGTGCATATACTTATTTTGTTCACCAAAATCTTTCCTAGACTTACTCGAGAGCCGGTATCGATTGAGCGGTTTGTACACAAAGCTGTCGACTTTGGTGAGGTTGTTAAGATTAGGATGCTGAACAGCAAGTGTCTACTTGGTGTAGTTCTTCCAGTAGTTGAAATTGGTGACGGTGATCTTGACTCTCCAGTACTCTTTATAGTTAGTCTTCACATGCCAATGAACCCGAACGGGGCACATATGTTGTGTGCACTGCACCATTGGTGCATTCTGTTTCAGTTCTGTGTTGTCTGGTGTCACAATACTTAAAATCTTCAAATCATTTCTGCATCACAATCTAATTCTAACGGTTAGATACTATCCTGCACAAAACCAAGGACTAAGTAGTACTATGATATTCAATTTGAGAAAATAGAGACGATGTTATGGAGGAATATTGGGTTGCCACACGTAACAGTTTGATCACCTTTTAAGATGAAAGCCAAAATCCTCAAAAAGTCTAATTTCACATAGTATCAGAGCTCGACAAGCTCAAATGAGTGGCTCGAGCCACCCAACACAAACTAAGTGACTCTAATGAGAGCACCATCTTGTGGGGGTTTGTAAGGGTAAAATAAACCCAATTCTCACATTGTTTAAATACAATAACAAAAACAAAATACTGGGTCACTCCACTTAACAGGGTGTCCTTAGTACTTAGGGATGAGGAGGAAGTAATCAAGAGGGAAAAATACCACTGCAGTTCTATTCAA